CTGTGGTGGTTGAGGGTGCTATGGCTTGGCATAGGTGCTTACCCTTCACAGTGCCCACCAGTTACAGATCCTGGCTTGGTGGGAGGGAATCTTGACAGGGGATGCTGTCAGTGCCATTTTCTCTAGGAGATGTGAGACTGACCTGCTTGCCCCTCTGTTGGGGCTTTTCACAGGAGTTGCAGGGAATATTAAGCTAAGCAGTGCCTGAGCAATGTGGCTTGGCTGACTAGTGAGGCTCCAGTTGGGTTCTTCACTTTCTGCCCCCATCGTAGCACTGCCACAAGCAAGGAAGCAGTTACTATCTTTCCTGTCTGATCTGGCTGTATTTCTGTAGCAGGTTCTGCGTGTATCTAATGTTCTTGAGCTAGTTACCTATAAGTTTTTTGGGGGCAGGTGCCTAACACCCTGGGACAAGGGCTCTAATGTTCTGTGCTCATCCCAGGCACTGCAATGAGGCATGAGGTTTGGTCTTTCCTCTTGTCTTTAGTCAGGGTTTGTGCTTCAGAATGGTGTTTTGATGAGGGCTGATGTTCTTAGATTGTACCTTGGCCAGAGGGATTCCTGAGAGAGCAGGAAAATGGGCCAAGGGGCTTGCTCTTTGAGGTCAGCACTCACTTGGGAGCCCTTCAAGTGGGAAAGATGAGGGGAGGGTACAGGGCCTTATTGGGAAATTGCAGAGCCAGAACAAGACATTACAGCTTGTTCCCAGGGACAGGATAGGCCCTGGCTTCTTTCTGGGTAAGGCTGGTTTCTGTGTAAAATGCATCTACCCCTATAGCTAGGGTCTCAGAGGTGGCCTCTTTATGTCATGCCCCCAGATAACCTTCATTTTTGTCCTTGCTAAAGCACCTTCTTGGAATTTGCGATCCCCGCCCCCAATAACTCTTCTGGGCATGGGGCTGATTCCCAGCTGATGCTTCCTCCTTCAGGTTCAACAGCCATCCCTCAGCCAGCTCCTCTAGTGGTGATGGTGACAGTGACCGTGATGAGAAGAAACCAGCCAAGAAGGCCAAAATTGTCAGGGAGCGCAAACCTCGCAAGAAACAGTTGGAGGTGAGGGCTGTGCCCAGGTGAGGGGAGAAACGGGAGGGGGTTGGATGCAGTGGTTCTGTGGTCCCCAGTGCTTTCTGCAACCAAGCAACATCCTCTGTCCTGGGAGGATGGGTGTTAGCTTCACTCCTCACTAGCTTGCCTTGCTCCTGCCCTGCAGGGATCCTCTGTTGGCACGTGAAGACCCAGGTCTTCATGCTACTGATGTGGCCAGTGAGTACCCTGAGGTCTGGGAAGCTGGTCTGAAACTCCTGCTCCCCCTGACCTGACTTCCCACAAGGCAGTGACCAGTCTGTAGAGGGGGTGACTTTGACTTAAACTCTGCTTGTGGCCTGCTTGACAAGCCCAGGGTGGTTCTGTAGCCTCCCTCCAACCTTGCCAGTCCAGTTCTGTCAGCTTAGTGGATCATCTGAGCCCTAGTAGCAACTTTCTGTCCAGGTAGAGCTCCATCAGGAATAATTCCCATCCAAAGGGCTTGTGTTGCTGGGGTCCAGTGGATATCCTGGCTGTGGGAGGGGGTGTCCCACTCTAGCCATGCTATTAATGGGGCTTGGGCAGGGGGTGACCCCAGCCCTTGCTATGAGGAGATCCTCTGAGCCCATGAGCTCTAAGGGGATCTCATGCTGCTTCTCTCTTTCTCCTTCTCCCTCCATTGCTGCCCCCTTCCACTGTCCCAGGGTAAGAAAAGCAAGGACCCCGATGCCCCCAAGCGGCCAATGTCTGCCTACATGCTCTGGCTAAATGCTAGTCGTGAGAAGATAAAATCAGACCACCCTGGTATCAGCATCACCGACTTGTCCAAGAAGGCTGGGGAGCTCTGGAAGGCCATGTCCAAAGAGAAGAAAGAGGTAAAGGACTGGGAGAAGGTGTGGTAGCATGTTTGAATGGTTAGGGTAGTGTGGGTGGGACAGGGGTGCCAGGATGGTGTTGGCAGGTCTGTGTCTGGGGGATGCCATCCTCTGGCCCTGAGGATGGGTGGCTTGCTGAGTTGAGATTGCCAGTCAGGGGTGGGATGGTGCAGGAGTAGCAGCATATTGGGTGGGGGCAGGGGTGGAACTGCTGTTGTGGGTCTGTGACACTGTGCACTTCCAACAGGTGTGGGAACGCAAGGCAGAAGATGCCAAGAGAGACTATGAGAAGGCCATGAAAGAATACAGTGTTGGGGGCAAATCAGAGAGCTCCAGGACGTGAGTGCACCAGCCTGTGGGGAACCCAGGGGAGGGTGGGAGTGATAAGGAGTCGTGTCTCCTTTTGAAGGACCCATTCTGCCTGGGGAAGGTGAGGGAGATGGTGGTGAATGGCTTCTGTTCCCTCCCATCACAGTGGAGCCTGGGCACTTCCCCAGGGTGGGGGTGAGCAAGCCCCCCATGGCTCTACCATCCCAGAGGCAGGGACCCAGGTGGTGGCTGTGGGTAACCTCTGTGCCTGGTGGCTCTCTTGCGTTCAGGGAGAAGTCGAAGAAGAAGAAGAAGAAGCAGGAGAAACAGGTGAAAGGGAAAGTGGAGAAGAAGGGGGTGTCCTCCAAGTCCCCATCCTCCAAGTCCCCAGTCAAGCCCACCACTGAAAGTTTCAAGAGCAAGGAGTTTGTCTCCAGTGATGAAAGCTCCTCAGGCGAGAGCAAGAAGGAGGTAGGTGCAGCACTGCCTTCCATGGGTGGGGGCCCCATCCTTCAGCTGGCTGCTGTACCCATGGCTCTTGCATGTGTCACCTGTTGACTCTCTTTTCATCCGTTCCCCCAGGACTCGGAGGAGGAGGAGATTGCCAGCACACCCCCCAGCTCAGAGGACTCAGCATCTGGCTCAGATTAGAGAACCTACCCCTGTCCTCCTTTCAGCCCTGCCCCTTGTGCCAATGGCACTGTTCTTAGTCAGCAGGGTAAGGCCCAGTCCTCTGTGCCCAGGTTTCCCGTCACCCAGCTGGGAGGACTGGAGGGGTGGTGTCGTATCGGGGTCCACTCCATTGGTTAGAACCAGAGCTTGGCTCTGCTCCTTCCCTGATGCCTCTGCCCTGGCCCCAGCCACCACCTTCCCTTGTGTCCTGCTCCCTGAGCTCTACCATCCTCCACAGCTCCTGCTGGTGAGGGTTTAGGAAGCACACACTTCCTTTCTTTGCATGTCACTGAAGGTTACTTGGGAGGTCCTTTGTGTGATAGGCTGTGAAGAGGGGTGGGGGAGTGCTGGGGAGCTGGCTGCAAGGGCTCTCTGGCCCTATCAGTGTTTTTATGTTTCCATTTGTTTCTTCTTTTTGTATTTCTGGGCTGCCACATGATTAATGGGTTGAATTAAAAATCAAGTGACTTTGGACGGAGTTTTTCTGTGGGTAAACAAAGAGGGATGGGATGGATGGACACGCAGACAAAAAGCTGTATCTGCCCAAGAGAGATCCACACCCTCACCTGTAGGGGACCTGCTGGCTTTGCTTGTGCCAGGTGCATATCCCTGGCACTTGTGTGTGTGATACTCCCCACAATGCTGAGTTGGGGCCAGAGCCTTATCTCACTGCCTTCCATTAAGGCTATTGGCCCCTGCAGGTGGCTGTGGCAGCCCTAATTGTGTTAAAGGGCCATCTAGCTTCTTCAGAGCAGCCTAATAGAGGCAGGCAGGCAATAGAGACCAGCCTTAAGCTGAGCTCAGGGGCTCTCTGCCCTAACTCCTGGTAGGGAGGGGCAGAACTACCCTCTGGTACCACTGTCACTTTCAAGGAGGACTTAAAGCAGCCATCCCTGCTGCAGGCACAGGTGGAATCAGGAGCTCAGCTCTGCCGTTCCCTGCAGGAGGCATAAGGGAGAGGCTACATCTTGCCATTTCTCCCCTTCCCCATCTTCCCATGATTAGTGTCATTTTCTACTCCACCTTTGGGCCTGTAGCTCTTACCCTTTAATCAGTAACAGCCAGGAGAGGAGGGGGAGCAGCTCTGTAAAGTGGATCAGCAGATGGATGGGTCTGCTTCCATTACAGCTCTCTCCCCACTGTGTTCCTGCCAAGACGTGCTAATCCAACCTGGGGAATGCGTCCTGATCAGATTAGTGCCTATTACCGGACCTCAGTGCTCCATTAGAGGAGCTACAGGAGACCTTCCGGCTCCACTTCCCATCACCTGTGATGCAGAGCTCCTTCTCTGTCGTCTTTAATTGAATCAGTGCTGAGCTGTCTTGCTGAGAACTGTCTTTGCAGCTCTTGGAGAGGGGGAAGAGAGCTGTGCCTGGTGGGGGGGAGGGGAGGGGAGGTGGAATGTGCCTGGTAGGCTGTGGCCCTTCTGAACCAGTGGAGGTTAATGTTTGTGCAGATGGAGGATGCCTTGCTAGTGAAATTCCCTAGGCTCCCATTTCCGTCAGCTTAGTTTTCTGGAGGTTATTTACTGGAACCTCCCAGCTGCCAGCAGTTAATTGGGAAGGAGATGTGCTACTGGCAGCCAAAGCAACTCCTCTATCCAAGCGGGGTGCATCTGTCCTTATACTGGTCCTGTGAGCCAAATAAAGCACTGGGGGCTCTCCCTCACTTTCCAGGGGGTGCTGCCTCCTCTCTGGGGGCAGAAGCAAGGGGCACAGGGGTGGTGTTGGGTAACACACACAAGTTGTGGGGAGAGGGCTGCTCGACACTGGTGTGATAGTGGGTGGCTGTTAGGTGGGGGGGGGGCATGTTGGAGAGAAGGTTTTGCATCCAGTGTATTGAGAAGTGCTCGCCTGAGCTTCCCCTGTTTGTAGCTGACTTTACAACAAACTGCGGCTAGGGCAGGCTTTGGGGGAGCAGGACGGGAGAGCTGCGGATGGAGGAGGCGATTGTGCGGAGGGGTGCAAGAGTGGAAAGGCTTCACCTGAACTAGCTCTAGAGCTCCAGCACCACAATCCTGCTTTCTCTCCAGAGGGGGCCCCAGGGAAGGAGGGTCATCTAGTCCCGTTCTGCGCTCGAGGTAGGGTCATCCCTAAGTAAGCTGAAGGGAGACTGTCCTCCAGGCGGGGTTGAAGAGCCGGGGTGTAAAGTTTGGGTTTAAAACTCCTAACGCACTGGTTAAAGCGCGCCGCACACTCCTCCTCAGCCTCTGGGCGCGGCGGGGCGACACGCGAGGAGCGCCCCTGGGCATGACGGAGCTACAGCCCCAGCTCCTGCAGGGCCGGGGCCGCCCGCCGGGGGTGCTGCGAGCGCATGGACCTAGGGCAGCCGCGGGGTCGCTCTAGCCGCCCTCTTGATGGCATAGCGGAGCCCCGCGCCCCTCCCGCG